AGTCGAGTCGGCGCGTCACACGTNTACACGCGCAGGCACGCTCGTATCCAGCATCCAACGCCGCCGCCGCCGCCGCCGCCGCCGCCGACGACGACGACGACGACGACGCTATCCCTTAGCATGCGACTAGCCCGCTCTCGCGGGCGCATCGGCCCCCTTTGTTTTCGCGGCGTGGCGCGGCGCAGCGCGGCGCGGCGCGGCGTCGCGAGGGCGAGCACGTGGCTGCGAGGTTGCGGGCATAGTCAGTGAAAATCATCGTGCGCGGACATTGGATGGCGGGAAACGTGCGTGATAGCGCGGCGGCGGCGGCGGCTCGCCGCCGCCGCCGCGGAGGGAGGCCCTAATCAACCTGGCGCGTGAACCTAGCCCCACGCGAGATACGCGGGGTGGGAACGCGCGAGGTGGAGGAGGCGGCGGAGGAGACGGCGGAGAGACGCGGCGGCCCAGGGGGGCGGGAGGGAGGGAAGCAGAAGACGACGACGACGACGGTGCTCTCTCGCCGGGCGATCGCCGGCAAGGCCGGGGACAGAGAGCGGAGACGGTTATCGCGGAAGTTCGGCAATTATAGGTGCCGGGTCGTTTTTTTCCCTTTCTTCCTTTTTTCCCCCTTTTTTTCGACGAGTGATATTGATTTGGGAGAGGCAGTTCGTATTCGCGGCACGAGCATACCTTGTGACTCGCGGAGGCGATGCCGCGCCGCCAGCGCGATGCATCACGGCGCAGCGCGCATTGAGGGGTGCGCGTCGGCTCGCCGGGAGTGCGAGGGGAGCGCGTGGAGAGGTGGGGGGGGCCGGAGGGACGGCCGAGGGGGAGGACGGCGGGAGGAACGCGCGACGGCCCGAGCGGGAGTGGGAGAGAGAGGCGAGGGCGATCGGCCGGCTCCCCGCCGCTCGGTCGTTCCCCTACGCCGAAAGGCCGCCCCACCGCGCGCCCGCCGACCCCCCTCCACGGGTTCAACGAATATAGCTTCCTCGCTTCGCCTCCTCCCGACTCTCCCCTTCCTGCCGTCGGTCCTCGCCGTCGGCCGTCTCGTTCTCTACCACCGCCGCCGCCACCACCGCCAACCTCCTCTCGTCAGGAACGAACGCTGAATCTCGACTGCCCGCGACTGTTTTACCGATTTCGTCGGCGATCGAGGCAACGGGGGGACTCGGCTGCTTTTTCAAATCGCAATATCGAAGCGTCGACCGTCGGTCGACGGCTCGATCGCGTATGTTTTTGGGACGACAATTTCAGGCAATGGTTCGCCGGACTGGGCGATTTTTATGGAAAACGCGTAAGCCGCTCGCCGAAGGCGATTGACGATCGATTACCGTCGGAGCGACTCGCTCGTAAATCGCCAAGTCTCGCGGACTGTCGCGTCGTTCTTCTCGCGAAACGACGCGCCGACGATCCACGGAGACGCGAGAATCTAAATTGATGCACCGACGCGAATCGAGTAACAATCGGATCGCGTCGCCGAACATTGCCCAAACGCTCGGTCCAATTGCGGAGATTCTCCGCTCGGGACTTGAATTTCGTCTCCGAACAACTTTCCGCCCTCGAGCGGGAAACAACAACGTTACCCTTGCGGATGCGATTCGCCCCTGCAGCCGTCGCTGCCGCCGCCGTCGCCGCCACCACCGCCGCCGCCGCCGCCGCCGCCGCCGCCACCCCACCGCGACTCGTTCCACGGCACCTTCTCCGCTCTCGCGTCCTCACCCGATGTTCTCTACCATCCCAAACCCGAACCAGTCCAGAAATCCCCACTCCGATCGCGCGTGCACCGCGACGACGGAAGTGTGGCAACACCGCAGAGCGCTCGCCAGTGTCTCGGTCTTGGCGAGTTACTCGGGGGGGCTCAGGCCGAGTCTACCGAGATTGTGTCTGCCGGCGCGGGTAACCCGAAAGCGAGTGTGGCGAGGATTAAAGTCGCGGGCCGTTTCCCGGCATGCGAGACCGTCTCGCTGCTGTCTGAAGGCCGTACAAGAACGCACGTAGAACGGCGCGCCAACGATAAGAAAAGTTTCACGGCCGCGGATCTAGAGGAGGAAACCGACGGTGACGACGACGACGACGACGACGACGGCGACGGCGACGACGACGAGGACAACAACGACGACGGCGACGGGGACGACGAGGAGGAGATAAAGCAGGAGACGAAACAGCGGGCACGGCAGCGGAAGAAAGAAGAAAAAGCGGCGGCGGAGGAGGAGGAAGAGGAGGAGGACGTATCGTCGCCGCGCGCGCGACAGACGTAGCAAGGGCAGGAGGAAGCCGACGAGGCCGGGCGCCGCGCGCTCGCACGTTGCCGTGCCGCGCTTTACTATACCGCGGCCACACGCGCACCGCGTCGTGATCCGCGTACGCGCGCGTGAAACGCACACGCGCACCATATTACATATTTATATGCATACACGGTGACCCGCGCGCGGAGATAATACAGTGTAAATGGCGCTCTCGGCGCAGAACCAGTCGACGTCGTACGTGAACTTGTATTATTCGATCGTCCAGCGTGCGGCGACGCGCTACTTTAAGGAATATTACAATTCCGGTAAGTACCAGTTACTCGCGCGCGCGCGCGCGTTTACGTACGCGCGTGGCCCCCGTCCGCGTGGAGACGCGCGACCGACGGGGACGAGAGCCGGCGACGGCGAGCCGCGGTCGTCGTCGTCGCGTCGTCCCCCGCGCGCGCGCCACGTCAGCGCGTGCCCTCCCGCGAACCTTAACCCTCGTGTGTCCGCGTCGGGCGCCGGTGGCCACCTGTGCGTCCACGTTTCGGCGAAACGCGACGTGATCGCGCGCGCCGCGCGCCGTACACGCGCGCTTTCGAATTTTCCCGCCGACATCCTCTCCCCCCCCCCTCCCCCCGCGCTCGGCGCCGGTCGCCGCCGCCGCCGCCGCCGCCGCTCGTCCGCAAGACAACCCGCTTCGGCTCTCCGCCGCTAGTTAATTTCGACGATCGCCCCCCCCGCGCGTCCGACGCGAACGTGGACAATTTTCGAGCGCGCGAAAATTTTCAACTCTGCGCGCGCGACGCCGATGGAGACACGTGAGCGGGTCGCCGCGGCGACCTGAAGAAATTTCGCTAAAACCGCTTCGGTTTCAATCTCTGCTCTTCTCTCCGCGTCTTTCAGCCGAGTACCCTTTCCTCTCTCTTTCTCTCTCTCTCTCTCTCTCTCTTCCGTCCCCTCCCCCTGTCCCCTACACGATCGCGTGTGCACGTACGCATACCGAGACAGTTACAGGAGCAAACTATAACGTGCCGACGACTGCTAGTGGTAGAAGTGTTCTTCCGACTGCGATTAACAACTCTAGTTAGACACGTGTCTCGTGCGAAACTCGTGTATGCTGCGGTCGAACTCGAGGCTCGATTGAACGAGACGCGTTTAATGTACGGGAGATCGAAAGGGAGAGAAGGAGAAAGAGAGAACCGAGAGAGAGAGAGAGAGTGGAGAGGTGCATAGGGTGAACCAGAAGGGGGACCAGAGATTATTGCTGTCCGTCGGTCAACGTCTGGTACACGAAACTCCTTGCGCAACGGCGAACAGAGAGGGAAAAGTCGCGTGTCCGTGGCTACCGCGCGAGGCGAAAACAAGCGAAAGCGCGTAAGGGGGTAGAGGAAGAAGGAGAGACGTACTCACTACAAATCCCCCCCTCGTGTGCACCGGCACCGGGTGCGAAGCGATGTTTAGCACCGGCTATGAATCGGAGTGCTGAGCGGCAAGACCAGTCGTATCCTGGCGGCGCGTATGAATAAAAAGGGAAACACCCCGCAAAAATCAGAAACCAATTCGAGATTAAACGCGAGACTGGTAATTAAGTAATTGTACGATAATAGTAAGCTCCGCGCTCGGGAACTAATCATAAAATTGGATCTCGAACCGATAAAATCTCTTTATTATGGAACACGTTACCACGAGAGACGGGGAATTCAATTAGTGTCCTGGACCAAAACATTTCTCGCTACGGAACATCGATATGGAGGAGATGCAAAGAAAGTGGCGGTGTCGATCGTACGAGCCGCTTCGTAAATTTAGCCGAACGTGTCGCGCTCCAACGGTGGTAGAATAATTTTACAAAGGAAAACAAATACAGAGACCGAGGGACAGAGTGAGAGAGAGAGAGAGAGGAAAAAAAATAATCCGAGTTCGAGTGCGATTACTCCGCACACGTGTAACCGTGATCGTTGCGATATAAATTGGACGGAAGTCGATGATTAAATATGCCGGCGAATACGCGTGTGATTTAAAGAAGGATGAGGCACAGTGCTGTAGTTTATCGCCCAGGTATGCATCGCCAATTAAATATTTGTAGATAAAACAGCGCGAGAAGTTGTTGAAAAGTGCATCGGCATTTTTAATGGTATGCGGAAAATTATTCAGACACGTACGTAACAGTAGAATGCAATAATATGCGCGCGATAATAGCGGGAGAACTTTTTCGAGGGATACGCCACAATAGTAAATAAAAAATGAGACCGAAACAGCCACGTAATTAAGCTGTAATAGCATTAGCCCGCGTCGTGTCAGCGCATTTATGGTTATATTAATTATTTACAGCATCGCTCGCGGTAACGATAGCTGCGCATTGATCGCCGCTCATCGTTGATCCGTATCTTTCAATTAGCCGAAATATATGAAATTAAATTAATTCGTTACTGACGCGGCTACCAGGCTGCACTCTTCGATAATTAAACGTCCCGGCGAAACGTTATTAACGCAATACGGACCATTTGCTTCGTCCCGCCGTCTGCGTGTCGCGGTAACGTACACGAATTGCAATCGAATTCACACGACGGGTTTGCCCGAAAGCCCCGTTCCTTTTCTCTCTCGCGCGAGACAAGAAGGGAAAGAAGAGAGTTACGTGACGATACGCGAGACACAATCGCGTAATATCTACCGAGTCGCGGGTCATTTAATCGGTCCCCGAATTATCGCCTAGTGACGAAACGTGCGGGGCGATAAGTTTTCGTGCTATCCTCCGACGGTTCGCGCTGTAGCTTTCTCACATAGAGAGAGAGAGAGAGATCCGCATTTGGAATCGGTCTGAAGGGAAATAATCCGATTGTCGTTTTCGTCCTCCGATTCATGGAGTAATTCAACGGCGAGATAACACACGCCGGACACACTTTCCGCGCCTTCCGTTGCTCAACGATTCGTCGACCAGTCCCGGGATTGACTTTTTCTCAGCGGGAATTCGATGCCGCGACTCTATCTCGCTGACTTTTTAATATTCAACTTCGAGTATCTTCGAAATGCTAATCCTCGAATCAAAACTTTCTTTCAAATGCCGCTTAAGACTGATCCACAATGTGCTCTTTCCGTCTGTATAAAACAGAAACATTCCGTTTTATACAAGCAAATGAAAAGGCTTAAAAAATTTGCCGACAAAGATTGTACGGTATAACATACAATTTATCAACTTGTATAAATTCTTTAGCGACGTTTTTATTGGCCACACGGAGACAATTTTTTTCTTAAAATTTATCCTGAAAATTATGTGATTACGTACTGCTGATTCTTTCCTTTTCTTTTCGATTAACGCAAAAAGGTGCTCGCGTGGCTGAAACGAAGATTAGGGCACTGGCGATGCGCGTGGTGCAATTTAAACAAGGATCATGATGTGCTGAGCGAAAGCATTTTATGTACAGTGATGGACGAAATGGTCACGACCCTTTTTTTTAATAAGTTTAGGAACGTGCATTCAGATCGAGGGTTTCAAAATCTTTTTCGCCGAGGAACATTTTACGCGACGGCCATTCCGAAACCATTTCGCGCGTTTCCGATCTATTTCTCGAGTTCCTAAACTCATTTAAACAAAAAGTGCCCATCTGTCCATCACTGTACACGTGACAAATCTCCCTTCCTCTTCTACACGGAGAGAATTTTTTCTTAAAATTTTTCCTGAAAATCGTGCAATCGTGGGACAACGTGGCATTTCGAAGAATTTTATGAGAGTCTTTTAAATTTTGCCATACATTTTACTAGTAACTTATACTTGTTAGTATACATTTTACCGGTAGAATGTATGGTAATGTTTCGAAAAACTTTCATACAGTTGCTGAAAATGCCACGTTGCCCCAGGATTACATGATTTTCAGAGTAAATTTTAAGAGAAAATTCTTTCTGCGTACAGTATAGAACAAGGAGGTAACCGCTAGCTAAAATGTCCCACCGATTACATGATTTCGTTAGATTTCACACGATTTCGTTTAATTGCAAATAATGTTCTTATGTGCACGTATAAAGTACGTGTGACGTTATTAAATCTCAAAGAGCTGTTAGATTTTCTCAAAGCATTTTTTTTTTATTTTACTAATAAGTGTTTGTAGAGGTAATTTCAGTTAAGATTGTAGTATTCGGTTAGGTAGAAAACGTGTTTCCTAGCTTCCCACTTCTCCCACTAGTCTAACCGTGGTCTTAACGAGAAATAATTTTGTATTTGTATCTACCGTTTATTATTTTAAATTCGCGTGCAAAGGTGTATCAACGTTTCAACTCACTGTTTCAACAGCAACTACTTCAGTTCTTATTATGAAAAGAGTAATACGCGCTTATAGGTGTGAACTATGATATATATTTAGATATTCACTACAGGAAGGTTTTCCAATCTCTTGTTAAGATAACTAAGTGTTAAATTATATGTCTGTCTTTGCCTAATTTGAAGGAAAAACAAAGAGCTGTATAGGATTTAACTATTAGTTAACTTACCAAGAGATTGGAATAACCGGGCCTAAGAGAAATAAATTTTGGGGGAAAATAGAAACAAGTTGAGAAAACGTTGAAAATAACAAGTGAAGAAAATGAAGACAAAACAATTATATAGGGATTTCGTAAGGATTTCATAATGACTTCGAAGACACTGTCCCACGATTACATTAAGTGATTACCCCCTTGATATAGAATGTTTCTAGACGCAAAGAACATTGCAGACCAGACTTTGAAAGGAAGATGTTTCGTCGTCTAACGTAATCGCTGAATATCTTCCTTATCGCGCAGTTGACCGTGCGATTACCCGAGTAGAAATGAAATCAAGCATGCCTTGTGTATACAAAGTGTCCAGTGGTCAGGGAAATCTGGAAAACCGGGAATTGTCAGGAAATTTGAGAAATCTGTAAATGTCAGGGAAAGTCTGGAAATTTTACGATTTATCTGGATTTTTTACATCGTTTCACATTTTTCTGAATAATTTAAAGTTTTTAGAAAATTAACTTTTTTTTTGGCTCTCAGTACACTAATTTTCTGTTTTGCTAAACGTCAATTTATTTATAAGCGTGGTCGGTAATTTATATTTTCATCGTCGTGTTATTTTATTTCAATATGTTCAACTGAGACAAAACTATAAAAAAAAGATGAATTACTAAACACTATACTATCTAAGTAAGTTACTATCTGGTATGTTGCAAACAAAATGCAGTTAAGCAAAACGAAAGCATCAATATGATTACGTACGGTATCACAAATGGTTCGAATGATTTGTAATGGTATGTTCGTTTCTATTACGCAATGTATTATACATAGATGGTATAATTGCTTTAATTTAAATTTTTAC